CCCCCCGAGCTTCCGAGTCTCTCGCAAACTTTCTTCACGTCGACAGGCTCGCCGCAAAAGTAACCGTCCCTCTTAGGACTGACTCGTTCTACCGCGATTCCGGTTTTCTGAATTCGGCCCCTTCCGACAGAAAGAAAACCGCCGAGCCGGATTCGTGGAACCGTGAAATCGTTTGTGAAACGATGCTCTCTGTACCTGCGCTCAGAATTTTCAAATTAATCGTCGCTCGCAGGAGACTCGTGGAAGTAGACCCTGGAATTAGACCGAGGAAGCTTACGCGAATTCGTATTTTTACAGGAGCGGATGAATTAAAATTTGAAGAATTTTTGTAAAGTTTTGTATCGAAGGTGTTAATTAAGTAGCCTTTTATTATATTCAAAGTGAATTTATTTGCCTTTAACCTTCACCCTTCTTCCCGAACTAACTCAGACAGTATTTCCTTGTAGACAGTATATCCATTAACAATTTGATCACATTCGCCATTATTAGATGGGAATTATTCCAACAGTTCCCATCGTTAACCAGACAGGTCGTCCTCGGAATCTCACCTATCCACGATTCACCCACGACCCTCCACAAATCAATTCGTCCACGAACGCCATTTCCATCCCAGTAATTTCTAGTCTTAACCAGACAATTCGTCCACGAAATCTGGCCTATCCTCCACTCCCAGTAGCTCCCAGTGTTAACCAAAGCGCCGTTCCGCCCCGGGAAAGTCTAATAATAAAAATCCTCGGCTCCGCGTCCGCTCAGCTCCGACTTCCGACGCTTCTTTCCACGACGAGCGTGAACTCTGCTGCCCCGTAACGCGGAGTATTTCCAGGCGTGTAAATTCACTCGACTGGATTCTTTCATGAATCCCGTAACGCAGGGCGATCCGCGGCGCAATGACAATGCCTGGGGACGGTGTAATGCCGCCCGTGCACACCGATACAGGACGATCCGGCCGGGGGATGAAGAGGGTAATGAAGAGGTGTTGAACCGTATCCCATAAACCCCTATCGTCGCGGGAACCGAGGGTCTCTTTGCATAATAACTTACAGTTCGCTCATCAGTTACGGGTTTTAATCAATTACGGGGATATTAATGGGGGTGGTTCGTCGCGGGGGTAGAGACACGCACGGGTGCCGGTTCCTGTGTCCCAAAACACAGGACACGCGGGGAGGAGGGCGCAGGGTGGGATAAGGGGGCAGGTTTAGACCGACGTTGACGCGATATGATACCGGGGAGGATTTCGTGCGTCCCGCTGCGACGAATTTTCACGGCGTCCCTCGCTGAAAATATTTGTTTGTTTCTACCGAATCTGCTGGTACTCCGTTTCATGCCCTCCGTTAATACCCCAGGAAGCTTCCTCGCTGGACAAACTTTTTGTGGCGGGCGTGTCTCTGCTCGTGTGGGTGAAACATGATGGGTGTTGGGTCGTACCTTTTTGTTGTCTGTGTGCGTGACTGTTAAGACTAGGTTCATGGAGGTATCGTTTGTTTCGTTTTCTTTGTCATGATTTTATATGACCCCCAACTCTACATGGAAATACTGTCCAAGTTTGGGGTAGTTGTTAGTGGAGGAATATTGAATACTGTTAAATAGAATTAATTTAGAAAATACAACGCCGCGTATCTTCGTCGTCATTCGTCACCAAAATGAACCAACGAAAGCTTGGAACGAATCAAGCTTCTCAGATAGCAACTGACGGTTGCGAAGTATCCAACGATCCCAAGAAAATTCAAATGGGAAACGAGTCCGAATAGAAAAGGGTGGCGACGAAAAGTGGTCGAGTAATGACACGGTCGGTCTTATCCGCCTCCTTGAGTTACATTTTGATCCGTTGAACTTTCAACCCCCGAGCGCTGTACCTAATTACGCGGTATCAGGTGTCACCGACGTAGAATCGAACCCCCCACCTCCCTTACTCACGATCATTGTGCTCCTGGTCGATCGTTATGCACGGTTCGACGCCTACGTAAAACGCGAGGGGGACGAACAGCTAGTCGGTGTCGATTCGGGATGAATCGACTCACGGTCGAGTCAGTCGACTAAACGGAATACTTAGCGATCTTCGGATCGTCCGGGGGTGCCCCGGGGGCGAAGAAAGGAGGAAAAAGAGAGCGGCGAACCGTTCAACGCGTATCTATTCTACGCGGGGCCAACACCGTTTCCTTTTGTTATCACGTGACGGCCTCGAGCCCCTTTCTCGCGATAACAAAGCGCATCCCTGTCGCGTGTCCATTCCGCCGATACGCTAAACGGGACGCATTAACGGTGAATTCTTAATTAAACAGTCCACTCGGGTATTCGATTAATTTACTCCCGGCTGGCGCCATCCCTCGGATCGAGAAAAAAAAAAGGGATGCACGAGGGAAGAAAGAGATATTGAGAATAGATACACGAAAAAATACGATGGAGACGAATATACACCCCCTCGTAAGTACGATGGAGACGGAATGGCAATAAATATTGAATGAAAGCTATGAATTTACTAACAAATATTTACAGTGGGTCGAAATGAATTTTCTAATGAAATAATTAAAGCTGAATACCCTTAATGTAGATTTAATTTTGTAACGCAAAAGGTAGCTGTGATCTTTTCCTTCAGGGAGAAGCAGCTGTAGCAGTGTTTTTGCAAGCTACAGTAGGGGCTTAGCAGCCCCGAGGTACTCGAGCTAAAGGGGGCCCCACAGACATGAGTTGTGAAGCGACACAGAAATAAGAAGTTATAAAGAGGATAAGATGTGTGAATGCGAGAAAAGCGTGCGAAAATGTGTACTCACAGGAAAAGTGTAAACAGTCAGACATGACTACGCTATAATAAAGAAAAAGCAAAGCAAAGACATAGTTCCGCCATCCACCGCTAAGTCCGAACCGAGCGCTGCGGCTCTCTCGCTAGTGAAGTGAAGAATAAGAATAAGAATAAAGACCGAGACGCGATCACCAAATAAATCCACATAATAAAATTAATAATATATGTAAATACTTGGCTCGATATTCATTTTATAGAATTTATAAGGTACACTCGGTTTGTTCGTAATAACTTTATACAAAAGTATGGCGTAAATTCATGACTGGAAATTCGTAATTGCAAATGATATCAGTACATCAGCTTTTACTTGTACAAAGTTATTGCAAAGTTGTTAGGTGTACGAATATTTTCTCGACTCACTCTAGTTAATTTATATTCATTTCATCCGAAATATAACACGGACCAACTACCTTAATTATTCATCGAGGGTGAATATTTAACACATATTTATAAACAGAGGTGTGCTGTTCGATTCGCGAGTGTTCCCGTTCGTGGCCCGACGTCGCGACCCGTGTTCGAGCTAATGGAAAAAGTTCCGTCTGTAGTAATCGCGGGATATCGAGTAAAAAGCTCGTCTGTGGAGCTAACGAGGAACCGAGCACATTATAATGACGTGCTCCTGCCGCCCGGAGCCCGGAACCTCGCTGGATATCATGATAATCAAAGTTTATTGTGTCATAACGGAGGGGGGAGCAAATTGGATCGCAAGCGGCACGGGGCAGAAGT